GAATATTTATCTATAACTGTCAGCAAGAAAACAGGTTAGATTAGGACCACATTTTCTGAGCTAGGAGAAGCAAGTGAAAAATAAATGAATTCAAAAATAGGTCAGATCTTTCTCTTTGATTAGAGTTAGTTACAGTTGATTCTGTTCTATATTAGCATACTCCAAATACTGAATCCTGATTGGTCCACACGGACCGCAACCCGATTGGTCAACTGAATGGCCGTGATTGGCGCGCTAAGAATCAATCGCGATTGGCCAAGCTGATCGCGGGAGATTCAAAGCCCTGTCATTGGCCACCAAGCCGCAAGCAATCCCTATATGAAGGGCTGCCGTGGCTCCAAGATCTTGGACAAGACTGTATACTGAAATAAAGAGCTGAATGTACACTTGGTCTCGTGTCTCTGTGGGAACCAATCTACCCGATCCAACACTGGTGACGAAGGTGGGATCGTGAGACAAGAGACCAACCAAGCACGTGGCGAAGCGGCACAAAACGACTGACAAGATGGCCAGCAGCACCTCGCCACCCGCACCCTTCAATCAGGCTGCCGAGGATTGGGAATCATACATTGACCAATTCCTAATGTTCCTCGAGAGCAGCAACCTAAAAGATGCCAACGGGCAGAAAAAAAGGGCTGTGTTCCTGACACACTGCGGGCCCGCAGTGTTCAAGATGGCTAAAGCCCTAGCCAAACCCACCGACATGAAGGAGATGGACTGGGCCGACCTCGAACCGTTGCTGCGGTGCCACTATGCCCCCACTATGCCCAATCTCATCAGAAGGCACGAATTCTATTGGCGGGGGGGCATGTGTGGCTTCGCCGACATGGACGAGGCCCTACGAGACCGCGTGGTCCTCAGGCTCAGGGACCCCATTCTTCAAAGCCAACTGATGGCGAGGGAAGACATCTCAGTCACCAAGGCCATCGCCGAAGGGACTGCATCCGAAGCAGCCAAGCAGTCAGCGGTTCGGATGTGGCAGATGAACGCGGCGGACCGGCCGACAACCATCGAAGCGACCCCTGCACTGGAGAAACACCAAGAAGCAAGCCCCAGGACGACCACCACCACCCACCATGGAGACATCAACTCTTTCTCCGAAACCGAGGACGAGGAGGAGAACCACTGACTACAGGCGGAATGAGATCGGCGGGAATGGAGAGGCCGTAAGTCGGGGTTCCAGTGTGCCAGTTGCGGAGGCGACCACCCCCGCTCAGAATGCCGATTCCTTGTTGCCATCTGTCAGCATTGTGATAAGCGGGGGCACATCACCAAGGTGTGCCGGAATAAGAGGAACCACAGCCCCCGGCGACGAGATGGCAGCCCCTGGCGATGAGGTGGCACCCCCCCAGGACCAGAGACTGCCACGCCGAGAGCCAGTGGAGCCAGGATGGTCGGAACAAGCAACTCAGCGAGACGTGGTGGAGAGAGGAAACCCATCAGACAGTCATCATCGGCCACTCCTTGACCATCAACGCCCGGAAGGTGCACGTGGAGGTAGGCATCGAAGACCAACCATGCGAGATGGAGGTGGATTCTGGATCCTACCTCTCCATGGTTTCCTGGCGCACAATCAAACGCCTGGTGCCTACCATCCACTGGCGCGAATTAGAAAATCAAAAGCTGACCCTAAAGGACTATCAGGGAAACCACATCCCTGTAGTCAGAATTGGACACTTCAAAATAACCTTCAAGGGGTGTACCGAGGTGCTTCCGCTCACCATCGTGGACAAAGACCACCCAAGCCTGCTGGGATTGCAATGGTTCGCACCGCTGGGAATTGAGGTGATGGGCGTCAACCACGTCGCCGAGGTGGACTGGGAAGCAACACTCGTGAGGGACTTCCAAGAGGTCTTCAATGGTGATCTAGGCAAGTACAGGGGGTCCCCGATCTCTTTTAATCTAAACCCAAACGTTGTGCCAATCCGCCTTAAACTGCGGCAAGTGCCTTTCGCGCTCAAGCCCAAAATCGATGAGCAATTGGACAAGCTCATCGTGCAAGGGGTCTTAGAGCCGATTGACCATGCCCAGTGGGAGACCCCCATAGTCACCCTGATCAAGCCGGATGGGTCCGTAAGGATCTGTGGTGACTACAAGACCACCCTCAACCACGCGCTGCAGCAGAGTGCCTACCCTGTCCCAGTGGTACAGCACCTCCTGCACTCACTGGGGGGAGGCTGTGTCTTTGCGAAGCTCAACCTGGTGCAAGCATACCAGCAACTGCCAGTCGATGCTGAAACTGCAGAGGTGCAAACCATCGTAACCCACCGAGGGGCGTTCCGATGCAAGAGACTCCAATTCGGAGTCAGCGTGGCACCAGGGGTCTTCCAGAGCCTGATGGAAAGGCTACTCCAAGGGATCAAGGGGGTGGTGCCCTACTTCGATGACGTGCTGGTGTCAGCTACCAATAAAAACCAATTGGAAAGCCACCTAAGGGAGGTGTTACAAAAATTCAAAGACGGGGCTAAAAGTTAAAAAAGAAAAGTGTCAGCTGTGCACCGAAAAGGTCAAATTCCTGGGGTACCTCCTAGACAAGCACGGAATCCACCCAACAGAGAAAAAGCTCAGAGCCATCAAAGAAGCCCCTAGACCAAGGAATAAGACAGAACTGCAGGCTTTTCTTGGACTTATTAATTTTTATAATGTTTTCCTGCCCCAAAAGGCGACTGCGGCGGAACCCCTGCATAGGCTGTTGGACAAAACAGCCATCTGGACCTGGGGGAAGCGGGAGGAAAACGCCTTCAAACAAACAAAAGACCTGCTAACATCAGACGCAGTTCTCATCCAATACAGTGAGACCCTACCGCTAACCGTGACATGCGACGCGTCACCCTTTGGTGTCAGGGCCATCCTCAGCCAGACGCTACCGGATGGGAAAGAAGCACCCATCGCCTTCTTTTCAAGAACACTATCCAAACCGGAAAGGAACTACAGCCAGCTGGACAAAGAGGCCCTTGCGGTCATCACCGGCGTGAAGAGGTTCCACGAGTACCTCTATGGTAGGACCTTTTCAATTATTACCGACCACAAGCCGCTGCTAGGAATACTGGCAGGGAACAAGGCCACCCGGACATACTGTCACCTAGGATGACAAGGTGGTCCAAGTT